TATATATATAAAACTTTCAATGCTCCCTAATTTCTGGTCTATGTTTTACAAATTGTAATATGTGCTTCAACAGTTTATGAAGAAATGCACAGACATGTGCATGAGATAAAGCAACTCTCAGAGAGTAGTGTAAAATGAAATGGTTTTTATTCTCTGGTTGAAATCTGCGAGTTGATTTCACAGCATGTCTAATATTGATTGTCAATTTGACAGGAGCTAAAATAACATAGGAGACAAACCTCTGGGCATGCTTTAGAAGGAGTTTCTAGATTAGGTTAAATGAAGTAGAAAGACCTACCAATCCATGGACTGGGGTCCTGAAATGAATGTAAAGGAAGAAGGGAGGGAAGCAACATTCATCTCTCTCTGCTTCCTGATTGCTGATTCAGTGTGATCAGCTCCCTCAAACACTGAGCCAAAACAAACCTCTCCTTTCTTAATTTGCCTCCTGTGAGGATATTTTATTAGAACAGCAAGAAACATTAAGTGATACAATTAAGTATACCGCCCTTTTCAGTCACTCTGTTCTTAAAACTGCAAACAGAAAGTACAAGTACAAGGAAGTTTGTGCTGAGACCTGCTTCCTATGATGCAATGAATCATGATGTGAAAGTATTTATTGTTCCATATCAATAGTCAATGTATTCATTGATTTAACATGTGGGTGAATGGCCATAGGCATTTAAAAAGACATCTAATAATACTAGTTATCAATGAGCTACAAGTGAAAATAAAGTACATACATATCTTTAGCCACAAAAATGGTTTAAAGAACTAATAATACTAAGTGCTGACAAAGTTGTTGAACACCTATAGTGCTGCTGGTAGCATAAAGTTATGCAAATTTTGCAAAAGAACTTAGCAATTTACTATAAAATAAACCCAGATGACCATGTAACCAAACAAGTTTGTCCATAGGTATTTGTCAAAAAAAAATATCAAAAGAAAAGTTTATGTCTGGGAGTTGCAGAAATGGCCCAAAGGATAAGAACACTAGCTGCACTTGCACAGAACCAGAGTTTGGTTTCCAGAACCCAAGTTCTTGGATGATTTACAACTGCCTGTAACTCCAGCTGCAGGGGACTGACCCAATGCCTTCTGGCTTTAGTGGACATTAAACTAATGTACACATATCCTCTCCCCACCCATATATACATTAATAAAAAAAGCTTTAGTAATATATGTGTCTACACAAACATCTATAAATAAATGTTTAAACTAAGTTAAGTCATAGACACAACATCTAAACAGAGCACAAATTCTCATCAATGGGTGAAATAGATACACAACTTATTTTACAGTCATTAAATGAAACACTGCTCAGGGAAACTAATGGGGAAACAAAAGCAATTTCCAAAAAGAAACAAAAGAGAAAAAAACTCAACTCAAAAAAATGAAAAGAGGAAGAACTGAAGAAAAAAATAAGATGGTGGTCCACATATACAATGAAAATAGTAAAATTTAAATTTATTTATCTCAAAAATATACACAGATAATCTTGACTTAAAATATAGAAATCATCAGAATGACAAAACATATATTTCTTTGAGTTTTGTTTGAGAAGATATGTAGGTCATGAGATCATAAACTTTAAAATTGTAAGATATAATGGCTTTTTAATAGGTATGAACTTATCAAAGCTCTGCCAAAAGCATAGCTCAGATGTAGAGTGCTTGCCTAACACGTGGAAGGCCCTGGGTTTGATCTCTACTACCACAAAGAGGCAATGGAGAAAGGTATACTTTTCCAGAGGTATATACTCTCTACAGAGTTTTAACCCCAGGGCCTCACGCATGCTAGTAAGCGATCTACCACTAGGGTGCTTCCAAAGGCTGGTCTCAGAATTTTAATATGATAACCACCATGCACATTGCAAGAAGCATCCATATAGAATGAACAGAGCCAATGTTAGCACCAAAAACCACAATTCACCAATAAGATAGAATTATTCTGAATTTTCTGGGAATAATAATGGGCTTGAAATATGTATTTCAAAAATTAATCTAGTAACAGAAAACTGAATACATTATTATTGTAATAGTGTATTTTAACACACATTTCTCAGATGTTATAAACAAAATAAATCATCAATTAGGCTTCTGATTAATAACAACATGTTGGATTAGCCTAACTCATGACACATGTATATAACACCAATAGTCTTAGGCAGATGGATGCTGCCAAAGTCACTTCCTTCCCAATCATAAATTATATTTCACAAGACTTCTGTTATTCAATGATCAGACCACTCACCATTCAATTACAATCAAAGTAAGAGCAGGAGTGCCATTGCCACTTTCATATAGAGTATAATACTGGAAATACTTCAGAGGGAATGGACATATTGGGATGTAAGACATACTCACACTCAGGTCCCTCCTCATGCTCAAATGTCTGGCACTTTACCCAGTAAGCCATTTCTCTAACCCCAGACTTTTTCTCTGTTAATACTCTATTTCTAAACCCACACATCAAGCAGGTGCTTAGTAAGGGGTTGCCCAATTAATAAATGACTGAATGTATGCAATATTAATTACACTATTTCTTTTCAAAGGTAACATAGAAAATTAAAGTATAAAAAATAATATAATTACATACATATGTGAACATATATACATGATACACATGTGTGTGAGGATAGATAAATATATTCAGTATTTCTATTTACCTTTCCATAAATGCTTAATCTTTTGGAGTCAATATAAGGCTGTTTCAGTAAATATCTGAAAAGAAAAAGAACAAAAATATTGTTATATCTTCTTAAGTCAATTGCATGTGTGATTTCATGATGGTCAGACAGACAGACACATAGACAAATACATACTCAAAACTTTAGAAATTCTTTACTGGGCTGAGCAGATGTTTCAGTTTGCACAAGTGTGAGGAACTGAGTTCCTTTCTCCAGAATACAGATAAAGCATGATTTGATAATATGCATCTGTAATCCCACTAATCTTTTGGTAAGATGACAGGGGGAGACAGGAGAATCCCTCACAGTTCTGGAGACAGATAGCCTTGTGTACACAAGTGCAAGCAACAAGAAACCCTATTTCAAACAAAGTTCAAGTTGAGGATTGACACCTGATATTCTCTGACCTTCACAATGTGGGCTATGACATATTTGTGCCCACCCTCACACACATGAGCATGTACACATAAATACTACATAACACACACATATAAACACATACATACATACACACATATATAAACACATACATACATGTATATACACATACACACATACACACACACACACACACAGAGGCATGCACACACACACACCCAAAACATTCAAAATGTTTTACTGCCTAGGTTCTCCTTATTGGAAGGATTATATATTTCAATGTCTTACTACTCAAACAATGGTCCAGAAGTTTGTTATCACCTAGGAAGTTATTATAAATGTAAAATCTCCAGTGCGTTCTAGGCTCACTATGTTAACTTTCCTATTTAAACAAGCTGATCTCTGTACACTGCCAAAAAGAACCTATGAGCTTTTTGTATTCAACTTTTTAAAAAACCAGACAGATGAGATAGCTTGGCAGGTAAAGGTGCTTGCTGCCAAGCCTGGTGGTTTGAATATGATTCCCAGAACCCACATGGTCAAATGAGAGACTCAACTCTTAAACCTGGCTTCTGTCCTCCTCACACATATAGAGGCACGCACATACATAATGTAAATAAATATTTTAAAGTAATAAAAAATTTAATGAATTAGAATTGTGGGAATATTAGATATTATGAATTACTGCCAATAAATGATATAGTGGTATACTACCTCTCACACTTTCATAAATACAAAGCAAATTATAATTGCAGAGAATAAGTGTGATTATTTCTTTATTACATCATTAAGGGTGATCAACGCTTGAAAAAATGCAGTAGCGTTATATGCTTTACTTAGAAAGTCACTGGATCTCAACACCAGGAACCTCTAAATCAGTACCAGTCATGTTGCACAAATCTGTTATGACAAGAACACTGGAAACGTGTTAACTTACTTCACAGCTGCTACTTGGTCCTTTGCTTCTACTGACCCCATCCTGCGGTGAATTTCCTGAAGAACTTTCAGGCCCTGGAATCCACTTCCTCTGCCATCAAATCTTGCTACAATAACATTATCAGTGTCAATCAGGACAGAATCCCAGTCAATACGGAACTTGTCTGTCACTAGCTGGCCTCCTGGTTCTTCATCCCTGCAGATACCAACATACCAGATTAAAAGAAGAGCAACTGGAAGTTTGGCAGAAGTTCTCCTTTCTGTAATAACTAGTTAATCAGTTACAGAAACGATCTATGTAGGCGGTTAAAACTGGTTAATTCTTGATGGTGAACCTAAAGACAAGGGCACCAGTTTTCCCGTACAAAGTTTTAAGTGAAAAGTTGCCAGAAAGAGATAAAAACATGATTTAAGACTGCATAGCCAAAACTGGTTTAATTTGCTTTTCAAAGGGGAAGACATGAACAAAATATGTGGTCCCTTATAAATGCTTTTCTGATAAATGACTGTCAAGTTGACAGACAGGTCTATTTTTATTGGATGTCTAAGTGTGTTGTAGAAATGTCTTGCCAATGGTTTATAAGGGTTGAAGAGTCTGATAGAGTGCTGCTAGCTCAGTCACGGAAACTTGATAATAACTTAATGTACAACCTTGAGGAATGTTGGACTCTAAAAGAAATATTGCATTAATATTTCCTAAGGATTTTTTTCCATCCATGATGGAATTCTCACCAAGACTTTAGCAAGCAGTGAGGGAAAAAATATTTTTCAGTCTTCAAGTGGACAGCCAGAAAAGGAAGCAGAGATACAAATGTTTGAGAATTTGAAAGTCAGATGTCAAGAGGGATGCAGAAATTACAAAGCTTGAATCTTCTCTCCAGATGGAAGAAATGGTGTGATTTTACACTGTCAGAGTCAAGTGTTGTTTATTGTTTTATTTTGATGATTATAGAAAAGGCAGAAATTGAGGCTCTCATAAAATCACATGGATTGGGGATATGGCTTAGCAGATGAGCACTTGTCAAATTTGTGAGAAATCCTGGGTTTGATCTCCAGCACACCTCCACAAAGGTTATCATCATCATGCATATCAGCACTATCACTATCACTGTCCTCATCACCATCATCACCATCTACATCATCTGAAACATTATCAGCACCATCATCATCTTCACCATCTTCACCATCAACATTATCATTAAAATCATCACTATCATCATTATCACCATCATCATCCTCATTATCATCATCACATCATCATCATTACCAATATCACATCATCATCACCATCACTACCACTACCATTATCATCATAAAATCATCATCACCACAAGCAGCAGCAGCAACAGCATCATTTCCATCATCACATCATCATCATCATCATAACCATCATCACCCTCACCACCACCACCACCACCATCATCATCATCATTATTGCTACCACCATCATCATCATCATAAAATCAACAGCAGCAGCATTACATCATAATATCATCATCATCATAACCATCATATCATCATCTTAACCATCATCACCATCATCTCATTTATGTAGTACCAAACCTAGGTACAGTTTAAACAGATAATCACCAATGTGCTAGATCTGCAGGACATATAAACACCTCATTCTAATAAACTCTCCATTATTACCGGGGCTGTGTTTCAAAAATCCCCTTCCACAATTCAACCTTCAAGGCAAAGACAACAAACTCGCCACTTCATCCTCTACCCTTATGCCCACATTGAAAGCCACCAATATACTAAGCAATCCTCATCAACAGGCTTTTAGGTGATCACACTTGCTAAAGCTAATAAACCATCTCAGGAACAGTTGGCACAGGGCACAGACAGCAGTTGCATGGAGCTAAGAACTTAGGCAAGGATGAATGGTTAACATGACAAAACAAAGGTTGTTATGGGAGGAATTCTGTTACCTTTTTTAAAAAAAAATAATAACTACACGATTACAAGAAGCATTTTATTACAGCTTTGACATATTCAGTAACACACTCCAGAGAACGAGTACATCTCTTTCACAGTGGCTGTAAGTTTCTAGGTTCACAGTTGAATTAATACAGTTATACAATATTGAACTCAATTCTCTTACCTTTAAAGTTCATACAGTGAATCCCTGACCCTCAGTACTTCAAGATCTGACTGTACTGGGAGACATGCCTTCAAAGAGTCAGAAAAAAGAAACTGAGACTCTTAGGGTAGGCTTAATCTGATTTAATATGTGCCTTGAAAGAAGAAGAAATTTGAATACAAGAGACACTAGAGAAACCCACTGTTGAAGGGGCAAGGACAACTGCTACATGAAGACAGACCTAATGTGATGCCATCTGCGAGCTACAGAGAGAGGTTCATGGAAAGCCCACCTTTATGGCATTTCAATGTTTTTAGTGTTTTTAGTTTAAAAAAACATACTGCATTTATTGCTTTATTCTTTCTTTTTCTTGATTTCAACATCTATGAATTGGAAAGATGGTTCAATGGTGAAGAGCACTTGCTGCCCTTGCAGTGGATGTCAGTTTAGTTCCCACCACAAACATCAGGCAGCTCACAACTGCCTGTATCTCCAGTTCCAGGGGTTCCAATGTCTTTTTCTGGCCTGTGGGGACACCTCCATTCATGTGCACATATTCCCTCCCCGACATACGCATAATTAAAAATAAAAATAAATCTTTTCTAATTGGTAAAATACTTTGCATTAATAAAATGGTACCTTTCTCTATCCTTTCCTATCTCCACTTTCCACTGCCCCCCTTTGCACCTCTTTTTAATAGACCAGACGTCCTTATGCATGGATCACCTATGATCTAGTCAAGGCACTCTTCTTTGCCTTAAAGGGAATTTTATACCATTTTGCTCTTTCTCTGAATGAAATCAAGAATTGTGTCTCCTTAGTCAGATGCAATTATTGTTTAACAAGTATCATGAGAGCAATGAAGGAAACACAAAATCCAGTTCTTTCTATTACGCTATGCAAATTGCAACAAGCAGCCAGAAGATGAAATCCTATCAGTACATGGATTGAAACAGTGAACAGCATGGATATTAATGAGCCAGCCCTAAGATTCAAAGATGGACTGTTAGCATTATCCACACAAAATTAACCTCGGGATAAACATCTTAGACAACACATGAAAATATCAGCATAGAACTAACAGAAAAGGGCCTTAGGGATATCTCCTAGACAGAAAATGCTCAATAAAGTGGGAGGATGCACAAGCTCCTAATGACATCTGCCATCAAAGTCTTACTACATTAATTCTTATCCTTTGGCCATTTTCCACTGGAGATAATTGCTAAAGGAGTCATTGAAGGAGTAGCAAGGGAAGACAGTTGGCAGATCTTTTCTTTCATTTGCTGAGAGTAGTTTTATTACCCCAGAGATAGAACAGCATTTGTTCAGTTCCCTTGCATTTAAATAGGGTCACATGTAACCCACTCACAGTTACATGACACCCCAGCATAATTTGTATCAGAGCTGTGACAGAAGCATCTACCTTCTTATTCATGTGTATATAACTAGTGTACACCTCTTAGATGTCATAATAAAAAATTACTCTCCATGCTGCCTAAAATAATGTGGAAGTGGGTTGGGACATAGCTCAGTCAGTAAAGTGTCACACAAACCTGAGGACCTAAGGTTAATCGCCAGAACACAGGTAAAAAAGCCAGGCATTGTAATGCATGCATTCAGTCCCAGCACTGGGACCAACAGAGACAGAATTACAGGAGTTGCCAAGCAGCCAGGGAAGGGGTATCAGCAAGCTCCAGGTATGCTGAGAGACCTTTTCTCAAAAAATACAGTGGAAAGAAATTCAAGAAGACACTTGATGCCAATCCCTGGGCTCAAAATGCACCCATACACGTGTGCTCCAACACCCACAGTAAGGGACATACTTGCGTATGTACTTAGACATACACACACAAAAGGGAAAGAATGCGGAATGTTAGCTAAAACTTAAATCATATTAGCAGCTCTGATGGAAAGTGTTCAAATAAATTATCTTTGAGGGGAGTTATCAGGACCATGCCATAGACAGCATGATGGAGTTCTGATGGGAGAATATTTCAGTTCCAAGGAATTAAGGAACTTACACACTCTATAGGTTTTCATGTTATGTGTCTTATCCCAATGCCACAGTCAAGTAGGCAGTGAAAAGGATTAGGGCAATAATTCAAGGTGCCTTAAACTTGGACAGCAGGTTTCTGGGCTTGCTTGTCAGTAGCAGGGGTTGGGAAGGGATAACAGCACATATGCACGGCATTTGTATGAAGTGCACAACTCTGTGCAAATGGTATGTAGAGGCCAGAGCAAGATTTTGACCCACAGTGCTGGAGTTGTAGGTATACTCAGGCATGTCTGACCTTTTATATTGGGATTTTAGTTCAGGTCCTCATGTTTGCAGAGCAACCCAGTGGACCATCTCTCTTTATCCCTATCCTAATATTTATGACTCAATATTTGATCATCTAAATCTGAATGTTAGGTGAATTGAGAGCTATTTCTTACAAAATACTTACAATAAGCTATCTTTAAATATAAAGTAAACATTTATGTTTAAATTGGGCCTAGTAATGAACTCATATCACTATCCATATTTTGACCTTGATTGATAGAAGACAATGAACTAAAACAGTAAGTGTATGTGCATCTGCCAATTTAAAAGAATACCAGGAAGAATATTATAACTTATGCCTTAGACACACATTAATTTATATTTGGATGTATTTCTCCTATAGCACTTTTAAAATAGATTAAATTTAATAGTAATACAAATTAATACTGGCATGTGAGCTCTATGATCTATAGACTATGAGTGAGCAAGGTTAAATCTGTTCAAGAGAAGGAATGAAGGAATGAGAAGGATCAGGATCCTTTCTCCTTCAGTTACCTACATTCAGCACCGGCTCTTTCCTCCTGTTAATCATATCTGTGGGTTACAATGTTGGTACATTTTCCATCCACTTAAATATGGAAGGTTAACAAAAGCAAAACCTTAAATCCTAACCTTCAGATCATATTACATAGCAAAACAATATTAATCCATCCTTGAAACAAATAGCTCTTATCTACATCGAAGATTTTATTTATTTGCTTTTGTTTGTTTTCTGAGATAGAGCGAGAGCTCATATAATCCAGGCTGGCTTCAAACTTCCTGTACAGCCTGGCTGGAAAGGGTTCATTTTCCAGTGTAGATTTCACAAAGGTCATACTAGTAGAGAGAAGAAAAGCAATTAAGAGAGAGGACACAGCAGGAAAATAGAAAACAAAACAAAACAAAAAAACAGAGAAAGGAAGCAGAATGGCTGCCTAGACTGAAGTACTCAGACAGGATGTCCCACTGTTACAGAGCCTGAAGAAGAGGACGAAACAACAGGAAACACCATTAATCAAAAGATCAAGGCAAGCAACTACAGCCCAAGAACTCAATACCAATCACAGGACTGACTGATTGATATTTGTCTATTTTTGTGACAGGGTCTCACATGTTCCAGGCTGGCCTGAAAGGAATTATGTAGCCCAAAGATGACCTTGGATTTCTGATCCTCTTGCCTCTCCAACCTTGTGCAGGGATGAACAGTGTGCATCAACATCCCTGATTTATGTTGTGGTAAGGATCAAAACCAGGGTTTTTGAATGCTAGACAAGCACTTTACCACTAAGCTGTATCTTTATTCACTCACTGGCAATCAGTTTTAACCCAGTTCTAAAGATCAAGAAATCACTCTCCATTTCTTTGTGGACCAGACCCTTTGTACAGAACAGTAATAACAGAGACTGATGTCCCCTTTGTGCCTGATTATTTATAGCTTGACCATTTATCTCTCAGTTATGTCTGTTTCTGAAAAACAAAACCTGCTCTTGCAACTTTGTTATTTTATGTTTATGAGAGTTTGCCCATTTGTATGTAAGTGCACTTCTGTCATACAATGTCATTGGAGGTCAGAAGAGGGATTTCCTGGAAGTAGAGTTAGGTTGGTTGTTAGCCACCAGGTGGGTGCCGGAAATAAACTTGGTTCCTCTGCTAGAACAGCCAGTGCTCTTAACCACTGAGCCATCTCTAAATCCTCTATAACACTTTGAGAATGGGAAACCATGTTGTTAATGAAAACAGGGTATAATCTTAATAGACAATATATGCCTTTCAATCATTTGCAATCTGAAATAACTCCTCACACAATGGAAATTTTTTCAGCCATAAAGAATGAAATCATGTCATTTGTAGGAAAATAGATGAAACTGGAATAGTCATATTAGGCAAAATAATCTGTCTCAGAAAGATAAAAAACAAGGTTCTTGAAAAAGGTTCTATGTAAACATTATTGTTGATTTAGGTTTTTAATTATAAATGCTCTAGAAATAAACATATAAT